GCTCACCATGTCACACTGTGTGATTTCTGCACACTCACTATCACACAGTGGTTGCCTCATATTTCTGGGGTGGTGGTCCCCCTCCCTGTCACCTGTCCCCTCATCACAGCTTGCACAGAAAGAGGAATCGTTTGCATTGGGCACCATCAGCTGACCAGTGTCTCTCCCTCGTCCGTCCTTCATTGGTTGTGTACACTGTGCTCCTGAGTCACCCAGCACTCCTGGAAGGGCCCACCTACCACAGACACTGGTTTCCAAGGCGGGCCTCGCCTAGAGACCCTCCTGCTGTGTCTGTCCTCATCTCCCTGCTAGCCCACCCTGCTCTGCTGCCATGGACCACACCTCACCAGGTCCCCCTGGCCCCTTTAGGTCCATCAAGCGCTACTTCCTGATGGACCAGGGGGACTTCTTCGTGCACTTCATGGACCTGACTGAGGAAGAACTGAAGAAGCCTGTAGATGCCATCACACCGCCCCGTCTGGAAGCCCTGCTGGAGCTGGCCCTTCGCATGAGCACGGCCAACACGGATCCCTTCAAAGATGACCTGAAGGTGAAGCTGGAGTGTCACAGACACCTGAGGGGGCTGCTGGCGGGGGCGCATTGAGAGAGACCTCTAATTACACGGGGGCTAGATGGATGGCTGAGGGAAGGCAGAGTGTGCCTCCTCTGAGCCGCCGACCCTAGGACTCTGTGGTCACGTGGGCTGCTCACACAAGGTGTGCGCTCACTGCCTTGCATGTTGAGTCGTGACTTATGGGGGGCAGATGTTGCGCTGGGTTCAGAGTTTATTTCAAAGTGTCTGTAGTCGAGTGACAGTATAAATGCCTCCAGCCGTCCAGCTACTGGTAGCTCTTCTGAGACTGCACTTGGGCCTGACAGCGTCCTGAGTAGCATGGGGGCAGGTCACCCCTGAGCCAGTGTGTTGGGGGGTTGTGCAGAGGTGAGAGCTGATTGGATGGTGGATGTTCAGGACTTCTCCCCAGATGGGTAGCTGGTGTACGCCCTTGGGTGACCTTGTGAACCCTGGTCTGCAGGAGATGCTGATACGGGCTTGGCTGTCCTACAGGCGGAATGCACTGAACCATGCCTGGGGTGTTCCCGTTTCTATAGTAAACAGCTATGTGGGAGTTCTTGTCGTCGTATCTGCGCTGTGGGGTATTTTTGCAAAAGAAAGTCGTACATGTGGCGTTTCTGGCTCAGAATCCATGGTTGTTGTGTAGCAGTGGGACAGCCAATCTTGGGAACTTGGTGTTAATGCTAACTGACTTCAGTATTGTCATTTGTCCATGAGCTGTGTGTCTTGTGTGCAGTCACGTCTGTTTGTGGTGTGTGGACACACATCCCTGGCACATCGTTGGCACCTAACATACATCTAGGTAATGGCGTCGGAGGTGCTTTTCTCCCGCTGTGCTTTGTCTTCCAGCCCCGTTTGTGGTGCTTGTTGTAAGGGACCTCCCGTCTCCCTGGAACCTCCCGTCTCCCGTGGGGCCTCCCGTCTCCCGTGGGGCCTCCCGTCTCCCGTGGGGCCTCCCGTCTCCCGTGGGGCCTCCCGTCTCCCGTGGGACCTCCCGTCTCCCGTGGGACCTCTCTCGCGTTGGTTTTTGAAGACTGCACGGCAGCAGGACTCTAACCAGATAATTGCTCTGTAGTTTTCTCTTTCCACTGTAATGAGAAGTGGTTTAGGTTTGGGGTCAGCATTCAGTTGATGTTTGGATTTCCTAAATCAGCCTTCAACATCTAGAAGTCAGCATTTAGAGACACTTGTATTGGGATTATAGTTGTCTTTCCTGCTGATTGTCCCAGCTGGGGTCCAGATCTGACCCCTGGCCCTGTCCCCTCTCCCCAGATTGATCTGATGCCCCACGACCTCATCACCCAGCTCCTCCGGGTCCTGGCCATTGAGACCAAGCAGGAGAAGGCACTGGTCAGTGCTGAGCCCACAGAGCTCACGCTGAGCGGCCTGGAGGCCTTCTCCTTCGACTATGTTGTCAAGTGGCCTCTGTCGCTGATCATCAACAGGTAAGTGCCTCCTCCTGCCCCACTCAAGGGCCTGCTGCTCTCTGGGCCAGTGGGGCCTTGGGAGCAGAGCTGTCCGACATTAATGTGAGCCCGGCTCCTACAGGAAAGCGCTGACCCGCTACCAGATGCTCTTCCGGCACATGTTCTACTGCAAGCACGTGGAGCGGCAGCTCTGCAGCGTCTGGGTCAGCAACAAGACCGCCAAGCAACATGCCCTGCACTCAGCCAAGTGGTGCGTCCACCCTCGGCCTGGCCCCGGCTTCCCTAGTGCCTCTCCATGTGAGGCAGCACACCCATCCCTCAGTCTGTGGGGAGCACGGACTGTCTGCACCGTTGCACCTGGACTGCTTGCAGAGCATGTGTTAAGCTCTTAAGTCACCTCATAAACAAGGCCTCCCTAGTGGGAGGAATTGCCAGGTGGGTTGCTCGCCAGTGCTGTGGCCTAGCTGAGTGAGCCACTGAGCCTCCACGTCTTGTCTGCAGTAGTGCTGCTTAGCCCCTCCACTGTAGGCCTTGGGGGATTGTAAGGCGAGGTGAGGAGGGGCACTGTGCCTGCCAACCCAGAACTGTTACGGCCTGGCAGGGATCGCTCCCCAGGCCTCCACCTCTGCCTCCGCTCAGCCAGGCTCTGGGCTTGGAGGGGGCACACGTACTGTCATCACTAGTACAGAATTGAGCACCGGCAGGGTCTCGGGTGTCGGCCGTGACTATGGACCTGGTTCAGGGGAGCAGTGTCTAAGAAGCACACAGAGTTGTCAACACCCCTGACAGCTCACATACCCACCAGGTTTGCGGGTGCGTTCACTCTGCGGCAGCGAATGCTTAACTTTGTTCAGAACATCCAGTACTATATGATGTTTGAAGTGATGGAGCCCACCTGGCATGTCCTGGAGAAGAACCTGAGATCTGTGAGTCCTAGCTTACTTTATCGGCAACTGTAAAGGCTGAGTCAGCTAAGCTGTGTGTGCAAAACAGGCCTGCAGGGGGCAGGGCACAGGGCCTGAGAGAGAGGGTGCAGATATACCCCCAGTTAGACAGAGGGCACTGATAACCACCACCACCATCCCGCCAGAGAGAGAGGGAGGGCACAGGCACACCCACCTATCAGAGAGAGAAGGCACGAATCCACCCCCAGTCAGATAGAGGGCATGGATACACTCCCCCAGAGAAGGCACAGATACATCCCCCATCAGAGAGACAGGGCGCAGATACACCGCCCGCCCCATCAGAGAGTGGCAGGGCACCTAGAGTAGTTGGGGGTGAGCTGACGAAGACAGTAGCTGTATACAGCAGTGTGACACTCTGTGGAGTCTCCCTGGGCTGCCCGCCCTCCAGTATCAGAGGCACTGTACACCAGCTTTCCCTTTTTTAAAGATCCTAAGCGAGGGCCTTAGCAGCAGGCCTGGGGACATTTGTTTGGACTGATACGTTGAGAATGGCGGTGTGGTGGATTACAAGTCTAACTGCTAAGCCAGTCGACAGGGAGGTACACTGCAGATGGCGGCCCTGGAAAGCCTGTGGGCAGTTCTACTCTGAGAGTCAGAATCCACTCTCAGCATTGGATTGGGTTTTGGGTTTTGATACTGTGACATTTCTCCAAAACACCACAGGAGCCTTTAGCAAGGGGAAGCCCAGCAAACATGTATGAAGTCGAAAGCAAACCCTGTGCGCCTGAGGCAGTCAGTCACTCAGCTTGTCCTCTCCCTTCAGGCCTCTAACATCGACGATGTGCTGGGCCACCATACCAGCTTCCTGGACAACTGCCTCAAGGACTGTATGCTGACCACCCCCGAGCTGCTCAAGGCCTTCTCCAAACTCATGTCTGTGTGTGTCATGTTCACCAACTGTATGCAGGTATGCCTCCCCGCCACCCGAGTTCCCCGTCCCTAGACCTGTTCCTGAGCATCTTCACAGTCCCATTGTCAGCACTGGAAAGATCCCCTTCCGTTCAGCATTTTTAGGGCACCTTTCATTGTGGTTGTTAGGTGCCATCGAGTCCGCCCTGACTCATAGTGACCTTGTGCACAAGAGAATGAGAAACACTGCCCGGTGCTGCGCCTTCCTCATGGCTGCTCTTACGTTTGAGCCCATTGTTGTTGCCACAGTGCCAGTTCATCTAGCTGCGGGGGGGGGTTTGGGGGGGAGTGGCCTTCCTCTTTTTCGCTGATCCTCTACTTTTCCAAGCATGACATCCTTCTCCGGAGACTGGGCCCTCCTGATACCATGTCTGAACCATCCTGGCTGTACTTCTTCCAGCACAGATTGGTTTGTTGTCCTGGCTGCTCGTGATACTATTAATATTCCTTTCTATAGAAACAATTGATGCATTTGATGTCATTCAGATGCATCCATTCTTCTATGATCTGCCTTATTTGCCGTCCAACTTTCACATGCATATGAGACAATTGAAAATACCTTGCCTTGGGTCAGGAGATCCAGATGGGTAACTTAGTCCTCAAACGGACATCCTTGCTCTTGAACACTTTCAAGGTCTTGTGCGGCGCATGGACCTACTGCACTAGTTTGATTTCTTGACTGCTGCTTCTGTGTTGATTGTAGACACAAGCAAAATGAAGTCTTTGATGAACTGGTGCATCTGTGAGGAGATGTTTTTCTTTACACTGAAGTGCGGTTCTTACTGAAGACTGTAGTCTTTGATCTTCATCGGTGTTTCATGTTCTCTTTGCTTCCAGTAAGGAAACTTGTGTCATCTGCATCTTTGGTTGGTCGTGAGTCTTCCTCTAATCCTGATGCTGTGTTCTTTTTCATGTAATCCAGCTTCTTGGACTATGTGTTCAGCACGCAGATTGAATAAATATTATGAAAGAATATAACCCTGGTTCACACCTCTCCTAATTTTAAACCATTCAGCATCCCCTTGTTCTGTTCTAATGACTGCCTCTTGATCTATGTACAGGTTCCTCATGAGCACAATTAAATGTGCTGGAATATCCATTCTTCACAGTGTAATCCATAGTGTGTCATGATTCACACAGTTGGAAACCTTACATGGTCAATTAAGCACAAGTAAACATCTTTCTGATAGTCTCTGCTTTCAGCCAAGCTCCATCTGACGTCAGCAGTGATATCCCTCATTCCACATCTTCCTCTGAATCCAGTTTGAATTTCTGGCAGTTCCCTGTCAATGTACTGTTGCAACCGTTTTTAAATTATTTCAAGCAAAATTTTACTTGCATGTGATATTAATGATATTGTTTGATGATTTCCACCTCCCACTGGGTCCCTTCTCTTTGGAATGGGCACAAATATGGATCTTTTCCAATCAGTTGGTAAAGTAGCTGTCTTCTAAATGTCTTGGCAGATGAGTGAGTGCCTCCAGTGCTGCATCAGTTTGTTAAAAGATTTCAGTTTGAGGTCCTCTCAACGCAAACCCCTTCCAAGACTTAAGACTCAAAGGAAATGCACGCTCTGATTGGTGACCACACACATCACCGATGAGGGGAAGTGGGGTAAAAGCAGCAATGAAGCGGCAGGCTAAGCCCTACAATGTTCAGTGGACTTCTGTGGACCCAATTGGGGACATGGTTGGCAAGCAGTGTGAAAGAGGCCTGGGGACTCTTGGGCCCAGAGTCAGTGGCGTGGCCACGGAGGACTTGAGAGGAGAGTGGAGCTACCGGCTGATGGGAAGAGAGGACATATGCACAGGAGTGCCCACACTTGCAGATGATACCCACGTGACCTGGACCGGATGACTGGATGATCGGAGCTCAACCAGGAGAGGAAAGAAAAGGGGGGGTGGGGGAGAGTGAGCTGATACAGTCTGATGAACTTGACCTATACCTATGGAGCAGCGACTCAAAAGAGGGAACAAATACAGCAAGAAACATTCACATACCCCCACACACAAAGAGTGGACAGAGAAGGGCAGCTTGGACATTGGATACTCAAATGGGGAGGTGGGGGCACTACAAAGGCAAGAAGTGACTGGCTTACAAGCTTTCAAGAGGGAACCTGGTGCTAGGGAGCATGGCGGAAGGCAGAATCTCCAGAAGGTACTTTCAATCTGTCTGGGCGGAGCTGATGAAAGCAGATACAGATGGGTAACTCGTGAGACTGTAGTGAATAATGCTTATCAGGACAGACTATGAGGGTTGGAAATGCAAAGGTAGAAGTTTTGTAACAAGGGAGTGATTGATTCTCCAGGATAGGAGCGGAGGCCTCTGGGACTATCAACGGAGAAGAGCCAAGAGCGGGACCCCACCCAGAGAAACAGAGATGCCTGAGATGGAGACAGAGATGATGACGTGGAGTGATGAAGCGACTGGGGACTTTGGACCCAGAGAGGGAAAGGGACTGTGGGCTGAAAACTGGGAGGAGGAGGGGAACGTGTAGGGGGCGGGTTCCTGGGATATACCCTTTGGGTGGTTGATGATGCATGGAGGGGATTGGAACCATGGCAGTGAGATGATATACGACGGAATGAATGTAAAACTAAAGTTCCCCCATGTAAACTATCATATAATTCACAATAAAACATTAAAACAAACCATTTCTGTGTGTTTCCCATGAGTCCCCAGAACGTGCTCTTTGCCATTTCAATACTGCTTGTACTTCTTGAATTTTCTTTCTTTTTCTTTCTCTCCCCCTGAAGTGTCCATTTTACAATAGTAGGCACGGGAAACCAAGATTCGTAAGTCAAGCATCTTAACATTATCTCCCCTTCTACCCATTCACACCAAGCCTCAGTCCCTGTATCCCAGAGCCCTGTGGTTCCAAGGGTGAGCAGGCATCACTAGTTACCTCTGTCCCACTTCCATTGGATCTTTATCATATGCTACCTCTTGAGACGGTTCAACAGTGACCATTTATTTTTGGTACAATGGCTCTGTGTATTCTTTCCATGTTCTTGTGATGATGTCTGCAGCATTCAGTGTTGTGCCCTGAGACTGCTTCACTATTACAGGTCAGTTTGAATTTTTCTTAAGTTCTTTCAGCTGGAGAAATGCTGACAGTGTTAGTTCCCTTTGGTTTCTAACTCCAGGTCTTTGCATACTTCGTTGTAAAACTATGCTTTGTCCTCTTAAGCCGCCCTTTGAAATTTTCTGCTCAGCTTTTACTTCCTTATTTCTTCCATTCACTTTATCTTCTCTACGCTCAAGAGCAACTTTCAGAGTCTCTTCTGACAGCCATTTTTGTCTTTTCTTTCTTGTCTTCTTAATGACCTTTTGTTTTCTTCATTCATGATGGTCTTTGGTCATTAGTATATAATGCATCAAATCTGTTCTTGAGATGGTCTGGAAATTCAGGTGGAATATGTTCAAAGTCATATTTTAGTTTTTGTGGACTTGCTTTAATTTTCTTCAGCTTCAACCTGAACATGCATATGAGCAACTGATGGTCTGTTCCACAGTCTGCTCCTGGCCTTTATGAGATGGCACTTTTCCATTTGATGAGGTTCAAGTGTATAGTTTGCCTTTTATGTTGTTAAAAAAAGGTATTTGTCATGAATAAGCAATTAGATTTGCAGAATCCTGTCATGCGATCCCCAGCATCATTTCTATCACCAAGACTGTGTTTTCTTTTTTTTTCTTAAATGTTTTATTGTGAAGTATGTGATAGTTTACATGGGAGAACATTAGTTTTACATTCATTCTATCGTATAGCGTCTCAATACCATGGTTACAATCCCCTCCATGCAATCCTTCCCCCCGTGCCCCCCAGGTCTTCAGCACACAGTCTCTCTCCCTCTCTGGATCTAAAGTCTCCAGCTGCTCCATCGCTCCACGTCATCATCTCTGGCTCCATTTCAGGCATC